TACACACACACACACACACACACACACACACACACACAAACAGACACAGACACAGACACGCAGAGACAGAGACAGACACAAACAGACGCACACACACACACACACACACATGCAGAGACAGAGACAGGCATGCCAACCTCCGTCGCCGTATTCTGGGAGCTGGTCGCGGGTGATGGCGAGGTCGCGGTCACGGTCAATCTTCCAAAACGATGTGTAGATGACATAAAAGTGCTCGTAGGAGAAATACTCCGTCTCCTGCAGTGAGTGGCGACAAGTTGAGCGTGAGCAGTCACGATTGTGGCCATGTCCACCGCAATCTGTTCGCTTTCACATCAGCATCCACTCACGTGCACACGCCTCCACAGCCATCCACAGCCATCCGCGCACACGCATGTTCACAGCAGAGAGCGTTGCACGGACGTTGTTGATGTTCGGGTCGTCGCCGAGGAGTGTGAGGACAGAGAGGAAGGTGCTCTGGCGCAGTTCGCGAAGGGAGATGGCGCGAGACCACGACCTGGCGGCCGACAAGAGGGTGAGGAGGGGGAGGAGGAGGAGGAGGGGAGGAGGGGAGGAGGGGAGAGGATATTCGGTTTGATGAATGAGATACGTGCAGTCAACCAAGCACAGGCACATCGAGCATACAGACATAGGCAGACACGCACAAACACAGACACACACGCACACAGACAGACACATACACACAGAGACACATCGAGCATACAGACACAGACAGACAGACAGACAGACAGACAGACACACAGACAGACAGACACACACACACACAGACAGAGCACATTGCCCCCCTCCCCCAATGGCGTGCCCACTACCTGTTGACGGTGTAGAAGATGCGGGCGACCACGGTGTCCACATATCGCGCGTGATATTCTGGCGACTGCATGAGAAAGTCCAGCCCAGGGTGCGTCTCAATGACGTAGTAGATGAGCCTGCGTAGGTGGTGTGGCGCCAGCGTGTTGCCCACCGGGTTGAGGATGTGCATGGCCTTCTCGTGCGCCGTTGGATACCGCGACCGCAGTGGCTTCCAGAAGGCGGCAAACGCCGACGACGGCACAGACTCGGGCAGCTGCTGGATCGGGTTGTCCTCGGTCACGCCGGCGCCGAGGCCACCGGCAGTGACGGGCTCCGTGTTCACAATGTTGAGCCGCTGCGTCACCGCGCACGCATACAGCATGTCCGCTGCCAAATATGTGGGTAGGCCACACACGCGGCAAATCAGCTGGAAGTCGTCCAGCGTCACCGTCCCGCCCTGGCAGAAGGCGGACTCGACCTCGCTCATCATGTCCTCTTCAATTGGCAGCACAATCTCCGCCGTGAACAGCTGCGGAAACACAAACCCGCTGCCGCCGCTGTCGTCTGTCGTCTTCTTCTTCTTCTTCGCCACCATCTGAGACTGCGCCTCTTGGTGTTGCGCTCGCGCCTCTTCGTCCTCCTCCTGGTCTTCCCCTGCCACCAAAGAGCGCACTTCATCACTACTGCTGCGACTGCTTCTGCGACTCGATGGCTCTTTGACGTGCTGTGTTCCGTTTGCCTGCTCTTGCTTCTGTGCGTGCTTTCTCCTGCGACTGTCGTCCTCGTGCAGCGTTTGCTCGTCCTCTTCATCGCCCCATCCGCCATCACCATCGGTATCGCTGCCACTGCCGCTGCGCCGCTGGCGTTGCCGCTCGTGTGCTCGCTGTGCGCTAGCCTGCTGCTGGTGTTGCTGCTGTTCCTCTTCGTCCGTTCTCACTGCACGTTGTGCGCTGTCACGGTCACGGTCTCCCTCGCCTCCCCCACCTCCCTCGTCACTCGTGTTGCCTGCAAAGGCACCTTCTTTCTCTGATCGCTCCTGGTTGACCTGCACAAGGGACGGCTGTGCGTGTGGGCCATCCTCTTCGTCGCTGGTGGTGATGGCGCCTTCCCGCTTCAGCTGCCGCCGCCTCTGTCGCATGCGAGCGCGCTGCTCTTCCTTCTCCTTGCGAGCGTCGTCCCCGTCGCCTTGTTGGTGGTTACGCCGGGCACCCAGGATGGATGTTGGCGAGTGCGTGCGCGCATGGCCGGAGGCCGTGCTGCTGCCACTGCTGTTGTTGCTGGTGCTGTTTGGCGACCGGTGCGCCCCCGCGGAGTGGCTGTGGTGGTGCGAGTGCGGGTGTGTTGGCGGCAGCAGTGGCCTTGGCACCGGAGACGGCGGCTGGGCATGCAGCGTCCACTGGTTTGACAGCAACAAGGACACCTGGTGCGTCCAGTGGGCTCGCACTGCGTCATCACTCAGCCACTCCACCAAGAACTGCTCCACCTTGCCCTCCGCATCCCCGCCACCAGACATCATCTGTGCTGCTTGCCTGTCTTGTTGCTTGTCTTGTTGTCTTGTTGCTGGCTGTCGCTGGGGCTGGCCGAGCGAACAACAACCCAACAAGCCAACAGCAACGGCCCGCGACACCACAAAAATACGACCACCAATATCGCACAAACAACCCGCACAGACAGACAGAGCCGAGCAGGGGGAAGGGCGACGACTGCGATTATGTTGAAGCGCTTCCAGTTCTTTGACAAGGATGTCGCCACCCGAGCAGATGGCGTCGCCTTCAACGCTCTCGAGGTCTGACCACTCAAGCCTGTCGCGTGGTGTTGAGGGGGGGGGGGGTGGTGAAGGAGGAGGGTGTTGTTGCTGTTTGAATTGGCGTGACACAAATACGACCAGCTTTGTTGTCCTCGTATCATATCCACACACAAACACACACATACTCACACATACATGCACACACACGCACACGCACACTCACACACATCCATAACACACTCATACATACACACATACATGCACACACACACACACACACACACACACACACACACACACACACACACACGCACACTCACACACACACACACACGCGCGCGCGCGCGCATTTTCACACGCTCTCCTCTTTCCCCACATTTACGTGCAGGGCATCAACGTGGCACACGCCACGAGTGGACGCGGCATCATGTTCTTTGGCAGCGCCGAGGGATACATTTGCGCCGTTACAAAGGAACTGGAGCACTTTACCTTTCAAGTCCACGACGCGCACTTGATGTGCATGATCCAGCTCAGAACGCACGGCATCGTCGTTACCGCAGGCGTACGTTGCACACGGACATGTGTGCATGCGCTCGTTTGTGTGTCTGTGTGTGTCTGTGTGTGTCTGTGTGTGTCTGTGTGTCTGTGTGTCTGTGTGTGTGCTTGTTTGTGCTCGTTTGTGCTCGTTTGTGCTCGTTTGTGCTCGTTTGTGCTCGTTTGTGCTCGTGTGCGTGTTCTGTGTGGATGTGTAGCTGTGGGGTGTCCGTGCGAAGATATGCGCGCGTACACACAGGACACCTTTGCTGAATGTACTTGTGTTGCGGCTGCAAGGAGAAGGTGGCGTTAGCTGCCATTGTTCCATGCTCAACTCAAACACTATATGACTAACACCAACTCGAAACTCTCGCACGCGCAGCGTGATGAAAACACTGGCCCGCAAACGGTCAAGGTCTGGAGCACCGAAAAGGTGAGAGCCCAGACGGACAGTGGACCTGCGCTGGCGTATGTGTGAACGTGTGCTTGTATACTTTACTTAGATCAATGACCAACGCACTGCAATGCATCTGATGCATTCGCGCCATTGTATTACCATCTAACCCACCCCCCCCCCAACCTCACACACGACCGACACATGCTGTTAGGTGGCCGGTGGCAACATGCCGACGCTGCTGCGGACGGTGACGCTGGCGGCGAGCATGCCGGCCATCACCACCATGGCCGCACACGAAGGGCTCAGGCACCTTGTGCTCGGCTTTGTCGACGGCTCTGTGCGTCTGGTGCAGGGCGACATCACGCGTGAGCGGTCGTCCAGCCGCAGCCTGCGCGAGCTCTTTCGTGAGCAGGCGCCCATCACGGGGCTTGGCTTCCAGCCGGCACTGGACCACGTGTTCCTGTTCATCACCACGGAGGTGGACGTGTACGGGTGCAGTCTGGACCCGAAGCGGCCCGCGGAGAAGCTGACGACGACGGCAGAGGGCATGAAGTCGCACGGCACCGCCCTCAACTGCTTTGCCATCTCCCCAGACGGCGCGCTCTGGACGGAGGGCGACAGCGTACGTCAGCGCGCGTGTAATTGTGTCTCTCCGTGTGATTGCGAGTGCATGTCTGGTTTGTGTGCATTTGTGTGTGTGTGTGTGTGTGTGTGTGTGTGTGTGTGTGTGTGTGTGTGTGTGTGTGTGTGTGTGTGTCGTGCGTCATGTGCATGTCTGCTGCGTGCGTGTGCGCGCGCGTGTGTGAATGTGTTGTGTGCATGCCTGTGTAACTGTGCATCTGTGTTCGTGCGTGTGCATGTCTGCTGTGGTTGCGTGTTGCCGCTTTGTTTTCATTTCAGCACTTTTGTTTTTGGTGTGCTCTTGCCCACGCGTCACTGCGCGCCTGACACTACCAACCCTCTGTCGTGTGCTGCGTGCGTGTACAGGAGCTCAACATGTTCCTCCCGGAAGGGCGCGGCAAATCCCTTCCCTTCCCAGGTCCGTCACGCGTGTCTGGCAATGTTGTACACACACACATGTGTGAATGTGCGTGTGTGTGTACGGTTAACTGCTGCAAGTGCGCACCTTCTCTATTGCAGCTCGCCGTTCGTTCTCGCTCCACTCATGCTCACATGTGCACGCATCCCCTCTCCCTGTGTGACACCCCCCCCCCTACCCCCCAAGGCAAGAAGCTGGCGCTGCGCTTTTTCCGCAATTATCTGGTGATTGTGCACAAGCAGCAGTCTGCGGCGCGCCAGGACGACTACGCCGATGCCAGCATCTCGCGCGTGTGCTCCGTGACCGTCTGTGATCCTCAGAACAAGTTTATTGCGTACGAGACGACGTTTGATGACGTGCGCCACGTGCTCTACGAGTGGTCCTCCATCTTCGTCCTCACAACCCAGGGCAAGGTGCGCTGCGGCTCATGCGTGCGGGTGTGCATGCGTGTGAGTTTGTGTGTGAGTGTGCATGCTTTTCTGTGTATGTGTCAATTTTCTCTCTGTGTGTATGTATCTGCATTTGCACGAGTCTCAAGCGCCCTCTTGTTCGTCTGCGGCTGTTGCAACTGTCGCCGCCCCCCCCCCTTCACCACCACATCGACCACCACCACCACCACCACCACCATCACAAACTCGAACGTGACAAACACGACGAACCATGGCAGCTCTTCCAACTGTCTGAGAAGGACTTTGAGAGCAAGATGGAGTATCTGTACAAGAAGCACAGCTTTGAGATTGCCATCAGCCTGGCCAAGGAGCAGGCCGGCCCAAACAGCGAGGACTCAGACACCCTCGCGGAAATCTACACCCAATACGCCAGTGAGTGAACCATGAGTGGCATGCACGGGGTTGGGAACAGCCGGCGTGTGCCACAACTTTGCCGTCTTCACACCACATCACCATCGTCTTACCCATCACAACTCAAGTTGTCACAGCACATGTTACACCGTCCAATAACCCACTTTGCCACAACGCACACACGTCAACTCACCACAACGCACAAACCGTCACACACACACACACACACACACACACACACACACACTCATCTCGCACGTCAACTCGCTCCAATTTGATTCACTGCAATGGCAGATGATCTGTACAAGAAGCGCAACTTTGACGATGCGGTGCGGCAGTACATCAAGACCATTGGAAAGCTCGAGCCCTCCTACGTCATCCGCCGCTTCCTCGATTCCCAGCGCATTCACAACCTGACGGAGTACCTGCAGGCCCTGCACGACCGGCAACGGGCAGACAAGCACCACACCACGCTGCTGCTTAACTGCTACACCAAGCTCAAGAACGTGCAGAAGCTGGACGAGTTTATCATGACAGACAAGGAGCTCAACTTTGATCTCGAAACAGCCATCACGGTACGTTTACGTGCCCTCGAGTGTGTGAGTGAGAGAGTGCGTGCGTTTTGTTGATGTGTTGTGCGTGTTGTGGTGTGGTGTGGTGTGCATGGTGTGTTTTGTGCGTGTTGTGTTTGTGTTTGTGTGTGTTTGTGTTTGTGTTTGCGTTTGTGTGTGTTGTGTTGTGTGTGGTGTTTATGTGTGTTGTGTTTGCGTGTGGTGTTTATGTGTGTTGTGTTGCACATGCAGGTGTTCGTTTGCTGCATGCATGTTCAACAGTTCATTTCACGACAACAACCCATGCCGTTGTACTCATCACTGTCATTTTCATGTTCAGGTGTGTCGCCAGGCCGGCTACTACAAGCACGCCCTGTTTCTCGCAAAGCGATTTGGCGAGCATGAATGGTCAGTTGCTCGTAATGATGTGCGTGAATGTGCACGTGTGAGTGTGTACATGTGCGCGCGTGCATGTGCATATTCGTGTGCATGTGCATGTGTGTGCGTGTGCATGTGTTTGTGTGTGGGGGGGGGGTTCACTATGCCTGCTTTCCACGCTCATACGCCTGTCTCCGACGTGCCACTCACCTATTGGCGTTTGTTCAGGTACCTGCGCATCCAGCTGGAGAACGTGCACAACGCAGCGGACGCCCTCAAGTACATTGCCTGTCTTCCCTTCCCAGAGGTGCTGTGCTGTCGTTGTCACCCGGCATGGTTCTCGTGGTGAAAACTGTGTACGCTGAAAGGAGGTGCACCCACAACACACACGCACATACAACACAATACAACAACAACAACAACAACAACAACAACAACAACAACAACAACAACAACAACAACAACAACAACAACAACAACAACAACAACAACAACCAACAACAACAACAACAACAACAACAACAACAACAACAACAACAACAACAACAACAACAACAACAACAACAATGCACTGTGTGGCACTCGACACCTCGCCAGGCGAAAGAGAGCATGCAGCAGTTTGGGAAACAGCTGGTGGCGGCACTGCCAAACGAGGCCACGGAACTCCTCAAGCGGCTGTGCACAGACTACAAACCAAACACAGACGTCGACGGTGAGTATGGATGAGTTGCATGGATGGTGGACGTGCTGGATATATGCATTGGTGTGCGCAGCAGCCGTCTGCAGGTGCCCGAGTTTGCCCCACTGCTGCCCCTTTTTTCATGGAACCACCTCACAGCAACCCTCATCGCACATCCACGCCACGTTACATGGCCAAACCCTGCCACCACCATCAGTGTGCAGCGGTGGCGGGCGCAAGGGCCGGCGCAACCGCTCCAAACCACCAGCGGACCCCGAGGACTTTATTCAGCTCTTTGTCGACAACGTGCCCCAGCTCAGGCAGTTCCTCCAATACATGGTCGAGGTGCGCTGATGTGACACTTGTAGTGTTGCCGTGGCGGTGACATTGATGGTAGTGGGTGATGGCGACGGCGACAGTTGGTCGCTTCTCCATCTCTCTGGCTGCTTTCCACGTTGTGTGGGCGGTCCCCTTGTTGTTTCGTGCTCCACTTCCGCCGCCTGATCTGCCTGCAACACCTGGCCTTCTGTGGCTGTTTTTGCCCCACCACCACTCCACTCTCTTGCTTGCGTGTGCAGAACAAGAGCGACATGAAGAAGGCCGCTTACGACACGCTGTTGGAGCTGTACTTGCGTGAAAAGCCAGGTGAGCACACCCCTGCATTTCGCACACTCGCATCTAGTTCTGCTGTTCGCCTTCCCTCTGCCAATAACAACACAACACAACACACACACACACACACACACACACACACACACACACACACACACACACACACACACACACACACACACACCCTCCCTTGATATCACATGTTGCCACACCATCATTTCTCTCACCCCCGCACCGCCCTCTGCCCCTGTCACCACCGCATTTGTGACCACCGCCTGTTGTGGAATTATTTTTTTCGGCAGCGACTGCTGCGGAGGAGGCGGACCGCGACGCGCGGGTGATGGCGCTGCTGCGAAGCCACGGCAAGTACGACGAGTACCAGGCCATGATCCTCACGCAGATGTACGACTTCAAGGAGGGCATCCTCTACCTCTTTGGCCGCACCAAGCAGTACCAGCAGATTGTCCGCTACTACATGGAGAAGAAGGCTTACGCAGGTGCGTCGCGTGCTGGTGTGGATGTGGATGTGGATGTGGATATGGATGTGTATGTGGGTGTGGATGTGGATGTAGATGTAGATGTGGATGTGGATGTGGATGTGGTGTGTTCCACTGCTGTTCCAGAAGCGGCGCACCCTCGATGCACTATCTCCCTGCGGCTCAATGGCTCCTTTCCTCCATGTGTGTGTGTGCGTGTGCGCGTGTCTGTGCATCCACCAGATGTGATTAGCGCGTGCCGGACGTACGGCGCTGCGGACACGGCCCTCTGGGTGCAAGCGCTTGAATTCTTCGCAGGTGAGTGTGGATGCGCTTGTGAACCCTCTTGTAATGGCACGCAGTTGTGTGCGCTTATTTGAGGGCGCTTGTGGGTTTGAAGTACACTCGTATGGTGTTGCGGCTCGCTTTGGAGGTTTCATTCACATGCATGCACTTCCTCAAACGCCTCCCTCAACACTGCTCTGATGCGTGGCACCACGCTTTCTCTCAGGGGACGAGGAAGGCTGCCGCAAGTACATGAAGCAGGTGCTGGAGTACATTAACGACAACAACCTGCTCCCGCCGCTCATGGTCATTGAAATCCTCGCCCGAAACGACATGGTCACCCTCGCATCCGTCAAGGTGAGGTGCACGCCACGCGCCCATATGAAGAATGATACTCGCGCGCGCGTGCGTGCGTGTGCGTGTGTGTGTTGTGTGTGTTGTGTGTGTGCGTGTGTGTGCGTGTGCGTGCGTGTGTGTGTGTGTGTGCGTGCGTGTGTGTGTGTGTGTGTGTGTGTGTGTGTGTGTGTGTGTGTGTGCGTGCGTGTGTGTGTGTGTACGTGTGTTGTATGCATGGCCACGTGCGCGTGCGACCACCACCGTTTCATTGCTCACCCCGCCATGCTTACACTACCTACCGCCCGCTACACCTCAGGACTACTTTACGAAGCGGCTCAACGACGAGATGAAGTCCATTGACGGCGATGAGCGCCAGATCCAGCGCGTGAGTGCAAATCTGAAGTAGAATGTTCATGCGTGCCAGCCGCCCTGCTCGTGTGCGGCAGCTGTGACCTTGTGTGCGAGCTTCTTCTTGCCTTGCCACTCACCGTCACCCTCTGCTCCCGACCAACTGATCGCGCTGTATTGCATGCACAGTATCGTGGCAAGAGCGAGGCGATGCGGGCAGAGATTGAGCAGCTGCGAACACAGGCCCGCGTCTTCCAGGTGTGGGGGCTTATGGCATGGGTGTCGTGGTGCTAGTTTGGCGGGGGCGGTGTCATAATGGTTGCACGCAGTGTTTGCACGCGTTTCGCCCACGTGCACACCTGCGCAGATTGAGCGCCTCACATATTCCTGTTCTTCTGCTCGTGCTCCCTCCCTCTCCGCGACTACCAGGACAACAAGTGTTCGCAGTGCCCGCGGCCATTGACGCTGCCCGTCGTGCATTTCCTGTGTGGGCACTCGTACCACTGGGACTGCATCCCAAACGAGAACGAGTGCACGCGGTGCCGCGACGAACACCACATGGTCATGACCAAGCTCAGGTCCCACGAACAGGCCGGCCAAAACTACGACCAGGTGTGTGTGTGTGTGCATGTGTTTGTGCATGTGTGCATGTGTTTGTGCATGTGTGTGTGTGTGTGTGTGTGTGTGTGTGTGTGTGTGTGTGTGTGTGTGTGTGTGTGTGTGTGTGTGTGTGTGTGTGTGTGTTTTGGATAGAGGGTGACGGAAGGCCGTCAGAACCCCTTTCGTCTTGCATCTCTTCACGTTAATGTCTTATCGTGCGTAGCCCACCCCTCACCTCCAATATTTCCTCTCCCTCACCTGCGCTCACACGTCACACGTCACACGTCATGCCATCATGGGTCGTGCTTATGGTGTGGCAGTTGTCGAAGCGGCTGGACGGCGCAAAGGACCGCTTCTCCGTCATTGCAGAGCAGTTTGGCCAGAACATGTTCCACAAGGTACGCCCACAGTCTCCACGTATTGTTGAGATGTTCGTGACGTTGCTTGTTTCGCGGACAAGGCGACGTCGCCAATGTGCACGACCCACTCGCTTCTCATGCAGAAACATCTTGCTCCACCGTCATATCATGCTTTGCGTTTCGCCCCGCGAATTGCACCTGCACTCGACACGCTGGCCCTCCCCTCACGCGTTGTTGTTTTCTCTCCTGTGCTGCCAGCCCGTGACGTTGCCTGAGTCTGCTGTGCGCTCGCACGACCACCCGACGAGCACCCCTGCCCACGCCCCGCCATCATCGTCATCAGCGGCAGCACGCCGTGGCGGCGGCGGTGGCGTTGACGATTCGCACATGTACGGTACAGGGATGACCCCGCGTGGTGCCGGGCTTGACACGAGCGACGTTGGCTTCAGCACGGGGTTTTCGCCCATGGGCGGCGGCGGCGGCGGCGGTGGGATGCGGCGCGGAGGCATCGACCGCCACGACGACGTCTGGGGCGCACGCGGATTCTGAGCTGGGCGTGTTGTTGATGGTGGTGGTGGCGATGGTGGTTATGTTGATGGTGGTGGTGGTGCTGGTTGCAAGCAAGCAAGCAGGGTGTGTGTGCGTGTGTGTGTGTGTGTGTGCGTGTGTGTGTGTGTGTGACGTGTTCTTCATGCCATGTGTGTTGAAAAGTTCGCGCTTTTACTGTTGTTGCTCGCACACAATCGTCTTTCGTTATTGAAAACCAACCATAGTTCTTGAAAAGGAACAAGAGAAAAGCACACTGTTCGAGAGAGAGAGGGGGGGGGGTGGGGAGCAGAAGACAGGGCTATCGAAGGGGCAACGCAGACCACAAGGGCTCAGACACAGATAGACGCAGGCAAAGATAGACAGACAGATACACACACAGACACACACACAGACACACAGACACACAGACACACAGACACACACAGACACACACACACACACCCAGCGCGACAATTAGCGGCGTGGGGACGCGGAGTGGCGGCGGTGGCGACGGCGACGGCGACGGCTGTCATCGCTGCCACTGCTGCTGCTGGATGAGCTTGAGCCCGAATCGGAATCAGACCCACTCGACGACGACGATGACGAGCTGCCACTGCTGCTGCTGCCACTGCTGTGACGACGGCGACGGCGGCGGTGTTTCTCAGCGCTGTCTTCCCTCACGTCGCGGCTGTGGCGGCGGCTGCCTGACCGCTGGCGACCACCGCGTCGCTCTTCACTTCCGCCCACATCTGCGCGGGCGTCACCGCCATCACGGGCGGCATCAGCATCAGCATCAGCATCAGCATCGCCACCGTCACGGGCAGGGCGCGGGCTCGTGCGCACCTCCTCAGCGTCACGCGTGACACGTGCATCATCATGTGCGCCGCCATGCTCGCGTTCTCCACGGCGGTCGTCGCTCCGGCGCCGCTCATCGCGCTCATCGCGCTCATCCCGGCTGTCACGGCGGTGGCGGCGGCGGTGGCGCGGGGGCGTGCGGCTCCGGCTCCTGCTGCGGCTCCTGCTGCGGCTGTGGCGACGGTAGCGGCGATGAGAGCGCTCCTCACGCTCGCGGGCCCGCTGCTCGCGCTCGGCCTTGCGCTGCTCATAGCGCTGATGGGGCGACGGTAGCGGCGATGGCAGCGATGCAGCGGCGAAGGAAGTAGGAAGCGAGGTAGGAGGAAGTGAGGAGGCGGACAAGACAGAGGACGGCACAAACATGGGGGAGGAGGAACAGCAGGGGGAAAAAGAAGAACATGGCAGCGATGACAAGGAGCGGAGCGAGGAATGGCAAGGGGTGAGATCATTGACATCACTGAAGCGTTGCTGATATTGAAAGGGGGATGTGGGAGCATGAACAAACGGACGAGCACACACAGAACGGGGGAGAAGAAACGATCCACAGTGTTGACCACCAATGCGCATGATCACACGTACCGCCTGTCGCGCGGCACGGCGCTCTTCGCGGCGCTGCTTCTGCATGTCCTCGTTGAAGGATTCGCCGTGTTGGAAATCGGAGGCGATGCCAAAGGCAGACTTGAGGCGCTCGTTCTTCACCTGGTTGGCAGCCGCCTCTTCATGGGTGCCCATATGCCTGCAGCCAATGGAAGGAGGACGCGTGAGCGCGCGAAGCAAGAAAAAAAGCACACAAGCAAGCAGCGGCGTAAGCAAAAGCACGCAAGCAAGCAGCGACGCAAGCAAAAGCAGCCACGTGCATGTTCGTACACACACACACACACACACACACACACACAAAAACACACACACACACACACACACACACACACACACACACACACACACACACACCGAAACCTTACTTTCCGTGCTTCTGGATGTTGGCGGCATGGAACTTCTCGAGGAGCTGTGCACGATACTCGTCAACCTTTGCCTCAATCTCGTCCTCTGTGCAGCCTTGCTCCGTCATGGAATCCTCCAGCTCTGCGCACTTGAGTTCAATCTCGCGGCGACGGTAGTGGTCGAGGATCCCCTGATCAGGCGCGCGTGTGAGCGCTGTTGGGATGGCGTGTGGTGGGCCACCAGGCTGGTGTTGTTGCTGTTGTTGCTGTTGCTGCTGTGGCCGTGAGCGACGGATCATGGACATGTTCCGCTGCACATACCCGTTGGTGCCACTGCCACGCGGCGTGGTCAAGCCAACTCCGTTGTACATCTTTGCCTCTTTGTGTTGTGGTGTTGTGGTATGTGTCTTCTTTGGAACTGTGAGCGAGTGTGAGTATGTGCGTGGTTGCTTGCTGTGTGGGGTGTACGTGTGGGTGTGGGTGTGGGTGTGGGTGTGGCTGTGTTCGTTCACCCTCACACGCTTGTGTAGATGTGAGCCAGCCGGATTGATGTGAGTCTCTCTGACAGCCACAGGCTGCTGTGGTTGTCGTTGTCGAGTGCTGCTTTTGTTGGTTGTCTCGTATCTGCGCACGATCTCCACCCAGAAAAAAATAAAAAAATAAAATTGATTCCATGCAGACGTGGTGGATACGTCGTAACTTTTTCGTTGTGTGTGGTGCGCACACACTGCGAGAGAAAAGCGAGCGGGTTGAAGTGAAGCAGACCATTTACTGCAGGCGCTGGTGTCGTGTGCGGTGGAAAAGGGGAAGAAGAAGGCGAACGCCGCTCTCTGAACTGCTCTTTTGCTTGGTTGGTGTGCTCGCTTGTCCAGCGACGGCGCAGGAGCACTGCACGCTCTCCCTCGTCTCCTGGATTGATTGGAGGGGTGCAGCTTGGGGAAGGGAAGGGTTGAGTGCTCTTGAAACGCCGCAAGCGCATACAATTGGTGGTGGTGCACCGGTTCTCTCCGCCTTCGCACCGTGATTGCCATTGATGTGAGTGTGCGCTTCCCATATTTGTGGACTGAGCACGGTCGTCACAACATAACCGTCTGTGTGTGTGATTATGTTGGGCCTGACAGAGAAGCATACGCACGACCAACAGACATGCTCATGACGTTGTGGTTGTGTGCACGCTCTCCCTGTTGTCATTGTTTCGTGCCATGCTTACCTTCTCAAACACACTCAACATGCGCCCTATCAAACACACACACACACTCACACACACACACTCAAACACACTCACACACACACACACACACATGCAGACTTTGGCATTGACCTGAGCTGTCGAGTGGTGATTTAGACACACATAAGTCAGCATGGTGACGTTTGCGGAGCGCCCATCTGTGGCGCCGCTGCGCAAGGCCAAGCGCATCAAGTTTGGCATTCTCAGCCCCGACGAGATCAAGGGTGTGTGCGTGCGTGTGTGTGTGTGCATGCATTTGAGATGTGTCATGTCAAGAACGTGTGAGCGAGTGTGCGGAATGCGCTGCTGTGATTATGGGTAAGGCCATGCCCACAGGTGGTTTGCGGCTCCCTTTCTATCTTGGGTCACCTCCACTCACTCCTGGCCAACACCACACACACACACACACACACACACACACACACACACACACACACACACACACACACACACACACACACATGCAGCCGGTTCCGTGTGCGAGATCACCACGCCAGAGCACCAGGAGAATGGCGTACCAAAGCCTGGTGGCCTGAGTGACCCTCGCATGGGCCCCATTGATCGCGACCTTCGCTGTGAGACGTGCCATGGCACCGCCTCGGAATGCCCGGGACACTTTGGGTGAGTGTAGTTTGGGTGGAGTGGGGATTATGTGTGTGTGGGTGTGTGTGTGGGTGCGGGTCGGTGACAGAGTGACCGAGAGAGAATGTGTGTGTGTGCGTGCGTGCGTGCGTGCGTGCGTGTGCGTGTGTATTTTCAAGTGGCCCAACTTCCCTGTGCATGCGTGTCTCGGCTGCGTGGTGTGGTTTGCTCTTCTGTGACGCTGCTGGTTCCTTCTCCCTTGATAGTTTGATGTGGTTGCATTCTGCCTCTTCTCTTGCGACATGCTCACACATGCACACACCTGCTTGCATCCACGTGTTCTGCACAGCCACATCGACCTGGCCAAGCCCGTCGTCCACGTTGGCATGATCAGCAAGATTGTGCAGGTTCTTCGCTGCATCTGCAAGTCGTGCTCAAAGGTCCGCTTCACAAAACCTCAATACCCCATGCTCATACTCCCCCATGGCTAATGATCCTGCTCTTGTGGCAGTGCTGGTTCGCGCTGGTGCTTTTCTGGGTGGGTTGCTGCTGTTGTCTCGTTGAGAATGCCGTTTGTCTGTCCTCACGCACCATTCACACAACCACAACCACCATGTGCAGCTGCTGGTTGACCTGTCGGATGATGAGGTGAAGGAGATTCTGCGCCGCACGAAGAACGACCCCAAGAAGCGGCTCAAGGCCATTGCCAAGAAGTGTGCTGGCCGCAAGGTGTGCGAGGCCGGAACAGGGATGGACGACGACAGGCCAGACGACATCCAGCTCAGCCCAGAGGAGGAGCTTGAGAAGCAGGGCCACTCGGGGTGCGGTGCCGAGCAGCCAAAGTCCGTGCGTCGCTCTACTGAGCCCGGGCATACGCTCGAAATCATCATGGAGACAAAGGACGACAACGGTCTTGTCACAGCGGTGAGTCCAGCAGCTCACAACAGGAAGCTTCCGAGGAAGGCGGTGGAGGCGTGTGCTCGTGTGCTTTGGTTGTGTATGCTTCGTGAATGTGTGCATGTGTTGTGTTTTGTGTGTTTTTTGTTTTGTGTGTTTTTGGTGTGTGCTTGAATGGCTGCCTTGTCTTGTTCTGCGTTCTCGTGGCACACACCTTCCTTCATGCACGTGCTCTGTATACCTCCTTGCCCCGTTTGTCACCTCATCTGCCTTTTCAACACTTGTTTTGCCTCTCTCTCTCTCTCCCCTCTCACACCGCACCAACGCCACCTCACACCGACGCCACCTCACATCAATGCAACCTTCTCTGCACGACCCTTCCCCCTCTCTCAACAAACGCAAACGTGTGCATGCAATGCATGTCACAGCGCACCATGTCGACGGAAGAAATTTACGAGCTTCTGCACAACATCAGCCACGCCGATGCCGAGGCGCTGGGCTTTGACCCCCATCACACGCGCCCGGACTGGCTTATGATCACCTGCCTGCCCGTGCCCCCGCTCGCCGTGCGCCCTTCCGTGCAGATGGGCAGCGGTGGCCGCAGCCACGATGACCTCACCAACCAGTACGCAGAGATTGTCAAGGCAAACAACGGCCTGCGCGAGAACGAGCAGAGCGGTGCGCCACGGCACGTGATTGAGGAGAACGTGCTCTACCTCCAGTTCAAGGTGGCCACCCTCTTCGACAACAACCTCCCACACATGCCCATGTCCATGCAGGTGAGCCCACCACATCCACCAACATGGCCCTGCTTTGCTTCTTCGCTTTGTTGCACTGTGTCGCTTGTGCAATGCGTTGCTTGTGCCACCCTTGTTTCCTTTTTGGCATGTGCTCGTGTGTGTGTGTGTGTGTGTGTGCACTCGTCCATTTCCCACCCCGCCACACACTTCCGACGCATGCTCTATTTGTTCTCTGCGCTGTCCATGTTGCTATTTTCTCTCGCCCATACGAATCCACAACACATGCCTCTGCTTCCCACCACCTCCACGTTCACGCTCACCATGGCACAACACACCCACACACACACACACACCCACACACACACACACACACACACACACACACACACACACACACACACACACACACACACACACACACACACACACAACCTAACCCGTCCACGGCAGAAATCTGGGCGCCCCATCAAGGCCATCTCGCAGCGCCTCAAGGGCAAAGAGGGCCGAATCCGCGGGAACCTCATGGGAAAGCGCGTCGACTTTAGCGCACGTACCGTCATCAACCCAGACCCAAACCTCGAGATTGACCAGGTGTGCACGCGCGGCGCCGCTGTGTATTTGCTGTACACTTGCTTTCGTGTGTGCGTTTGTGTGTCGCAACACAAACACCATGTGCATTTGCTGGCCTGCCTCATCCTCAACTCTTGTGCTCGCTGCAGGTTGGCGTGCCGACATCCGTGGCGCTGACGCTGACAGTGCCGGAGCGGGTGACCAACTTCAACATCAACACCATGAAGCAGTATGTTGACCGCGGCCCAAACCAGCATCCGGGCGCCAAGTACATCATCCGCGATGACGGGCAGCGCATCGATCTGCGGCACGCGCGCAACGCCATGGATCTCAACCTCCAGCCCGGGTACATTGTTGAGCGGCATCTCAAGGACGACGATGTCATCATCTTCAACCGACAGCCAACCCTGCACAAGATGTCCATGATGGGCCATCGCGTCAAGGTTCTGCCGTGGTCAACCTTCCGCATGAACCTCAGTGTCACCTCCCCGTACAACGCCGATTTCGATGGCGATGAAATGAACTTGCACGTGCCACAATCCCTCGGCACCCGCGCGGAGGTACGAGCAGCATGTGCTGTGTGGATGTATGCGTGCCTCTGTATGTGTTTGTGTGTGTGCTGCTGTGTGTGTGCTTCTGTATGCGTGCTGCTGCGTGTGAATAAGTTTCATGCGTGCTGCTGCTGCTGCTGCTGCTGCTCTCTCTCTCTCTCTCTCTTTCTTTGTGTGTGTTTGTTTGTCGTCCTCCCCTCCTCTTTTCTCTGAACCCCTCCCCGCCTATCTCTTTCTTTTCGCCCACTCACTCACACACTCACTCATGCACGTGCTCGATTCTGTTCCTTCCGTTTCCATTCCTCCACCTCCCCCCCCCTTCTCCCGGGCAACAGGTCGAGGAGATTATGATGGTGCAGCGGAACATTTTGACGCCGCAGGCCAACCGGCCTGTGATGGGTATCATCCAGGATACGCTGACGGCCATCCGCAAGCTCACGTTCCGCGACACATTCATCGAGAAGGACGACATGATGCAGCTGCTCATGTGGTACCCCAACTGGGACGGCCGCCTGCCGGAGCCTGCGCTGCTCAAGCCAAAGGAGTTGTGGACCGGCAAGCAGCTCGTGTCCATGGTGCTGCCGGACAAGATCAACCTGGTGCAGTTTTACAGCCAGCACGACGGCTCCGTCGACACGCCGCGGGACAAGGACGGCAACGTGATTGAGGCGGAGGACGCCACCCACATCACCCAGCACGACACGCGCGTGCTGATCCAGAACGGCAAGCTCATCTCCGGCATCCTGTGCAAGAAGACGATGGGCGCGCGCGCCAACGGCGTCATCCACGTCATCATGATGGAGCACGGCCACGAGCGCGCCCGCCAGTTTTACGGCAACGTGCAGACGGTGGTCAACAACTGGCTCCTCATCCACGGCCACAGCATCGGCATCGGCGACGCCATTGCCGACACGCACACCTACGACACAATTGACAGCGAGAAGGCGGCGGCCAACGAGAAGGTGAACGAGCTCATCCAGGACGCGCAGCTGGACAAGATTGAGCCGTCGCCCGGCCACACCATCCGCCAGACGTTTGAGGCCAAGGTGAACAAGAACCTTAACCAGGTCATCAAGAAGACGGGTGGCGCCGTGCAGAAGGCGCTCTCCGAGCACAACAACTTCAAGGCCATGTCCACCGCCGGGTCCAAGGGCAGCGAGATCAACATCTCCCAGATCATCGCCTGCGTCTCGCAGCAGAACGTGGAGGGCAAGCGCATCCCCTTTGGCTTTCGGCACCGCAGCCTGCCGCACTTTGTCAAGGACGACTACGGCCCGCACGCGTGCGGGTTTGTCTTCAGCTCCTACATCCAAGGGCTCGAGCCGCACGAGTTTTTCTTTCACGCCATGGGCGGGCGCGAGGGTCTGATTGACACGGCCGTGAAGACGGCCGAGACCGGGTACATCCAGCGGCGGCTGGTCAAGTCCATGGAGGGCCTGCGCCTGGAGTACGACGGCACCGTGCGCAACTCCACGGGCGACCTGGTGCAGCTGCACTACGGCGAGGACGGCATGGACGGCGCCCTCGTCGAGTCGCAGTCACTCACCCTCAAGCTCGACAACGCCACGTTTGAGAAACGCTTCCTCACCAACGTCGCCAACACCCGCTCCCTGCGGCGCTTCCTGACGGAGGACGTGGTGGACGACCTGGCCGCGTCGCAGGACGCCGCGCAGCAGCTGCTGGACGAGTACGAGCAGCTCATCCGCGACCGCGACGAGCTGCGCAAGGTGCACGACCGCGGCAACGAGACGGTCGTCCTCCCCGTCAACCTGCACCGCCTGCTGTGGAACGCGCAGAAGCTGTTCCACATTGACGGCACGCAGCCCTCGGACCTCAACCCGCTGTACGCGCTCACCTCCATCAACGCGCTCACAAAAAAGCTGATCGTGGTGCCGGGCGACGACCCCATCAGCGTCGCCGCGCAGGAGTCGACCACGCTGCAGTTTTGCTGCCACTTGCGCTCCATGCTGGCCACAAACCGCCTCATCCACGAGCACCGCCTCACGCGCGAGGCGTTTGAGTGGGTGCTGGGCGAGATTGAGCACAGGTTTGCGCAGTCGCAGGCGCAGCCCGCGGAGATGGTGGGCCCGCTGGCGGCCCAGTGCCTCGGCGAGCCAACCACGCAGATGACGCTCAACACGTTCCACCAGGCCGGTTACTCCGCCAAGAACGTCACGCTCGGCGTGCCGCGCCTCAAGGAGATCATCAACGTGTCTCGCAACCCCAAGACGCCAAGCATGCTGCTGTTCCTGGACGAGCAGGCCAGCGACAACGAGACGCTCGCGCTGCGCTGCCTGTACGACCTCGAGTACACCCCACTCAGTGCCGTGGTGAAGAAGAGCAGCATCTGCTTTGACCCGGACGAGCGCAACACCATCATCCAAGAGGACCTCGAGTTTCTGCAGGACTACTTTGACGACCCAGACTACCACCCCGAGGACCTGTCCCCCTGGGTGCTGCGGCTGGAGCTTGACTCGGTGCAGATGACCCTGCGCGACGTGTCCTGCGACATGATTGAGGAGAAGATTGAGTCGTACCTCGAGTCGACGGTCAAGTGCGTGTACACGACCAACGCCGCTGCCAAGCAGAAGGTGATGCGCATCCGCCTGACCAAGGTGGAGGAGAACGAGGAGGGCATGGAGGACTTCATGTCCGCGGACCGCCTGCTGCGCCTGGTGGAGGAGCGGCTGCTGAAGAACCTGCACCTCAAGGGCGTGGAGGAGATCTCGCGCGGGTACATCTCAAAGCCGGAGACCAAGGAGCCGGAGAAGCTCAAGCGCTACTATGACGAGAACGGCACCTTCCAGAGTAAGTCTGGCTGGATCATCGAGACGGACGGCTCCAGCCTGGCCAAGGTGCTCTCGCACCCGCACGTCGACCCGGAAAACTCGTCCACCAACGACATTGTGGAGGTGTTCCAGGTGTTTGGCATTGAGGCGGCGCGCAAGGCCGTGGAGAACGAGATTATCAACGTCGTGACGTCTGGCGGCGCCAACGTCAACTACCGCCACCTGTCGCTGCTGTGCGACATTATGACGAACAAGGGCAGCCTGATGGCCATCACGCGCCACGGCATCAACCGCCAGAGCACCGGCGCCCTGATGCGAGCCTCCTTTGAGGAGACGGTCGACATTCTGCTTGAGGCCGCGGCCCACGCAGAGACGGACACCATGCGTGGCGTCTCGGAGAACATCATGCTGGGCAACCTCGCCCCGGTCGGCACGGGCTACTTTGACCTGTTTATTGACCGCGACATGCTGTCGCAGGCCATCACGTTCCGCCCCACGGACCTGGTTGGCGACGACGACATTCTCGGTGCAGAGGAAGGCGATGACCTGGGCGAGGGCGCGGCAACGCCGTGGACCAGCGCCCGCACCCCAGCCCACTTTGCCGCGTCGCCCTCCATCGTCGGCGGGCAGACCCCCATCATGGGCCAGTTCACCCCGGATCACGCCTTTGACGGCACGCTGTCGCCCGGCCGCAGCCCCGTGGCGGACTCGCCAGGGTTTGGCGCCATGTCGCCCTCGTACAACCCGGCGTCGCCACGCTACGCCCCGCAGTCGCCCGGGTACTCCCCGACGTCTCCCAGGGCCGACGCTGCAGCGTCGCCAATGTACAGCCCAACGTCGCCCGGGTACTCCCCGACGTCGCCCAAGCCAGGCCAGTCGCCGACATCGCCCTCGTACTCACCGACATCACCAGGATACTCGCCCACCTCCCCATCTTTCTCCCCGACGTCCCCCTCTTACTCGCCCACGTCGCCCTCGTACAGCCCAACCTCGCCCAGCTACTCCCCCACATCGCCGTCTTACTCTCCCACCTCCCCGTCCTACTCTCCCACCTCCCCGTCCTACTCCCCGACGTCGCCGTCCTACTCGCCAACGTCGCCGAGCTACTCACCCACGTCCCCCTCTTACTCGCCCACGTCGCCGTCGTACAGCCCAACCTCGCCCAGCTACTCCCCCACATCGCCGTCTTACTCTCCCACCTCCCCGTCGTACTCCCCAACCTCCCCAAGCTACAGCCCCACATCGCCATCATACAGCCCCACATCACCAAGCTACTCGCCTACGTCTCCTTCATACAGCCCCACATCCCCGAGCTATTCTCCCACGTCCCCGTCATACTCGCCCACGTCGCCGAGCTACAGCCCCACGTCCCCATCCTATTCGCCCACGTCGCCCTCGTACAGCCCAACCTCGCCCAGCTACTCTCCCACATCGCCGTCTTACTCCCCCACCTCCCCGTCCTACTCTCCCACAGCTCCTGGTGGCAGCAACAACAACCCCAGCCGTTAGTGTTGTCGTTGCAGTCCATTGCGTGGTCAAGAAAGCCACAGTGGAGCACGCGCGAGAAGCAGCAGGCTGGTGTGTCGCATGTGATAGAAGCGTTTGGGTGTGTTGACGTGAGGTTGACGTGTATTGTGCTCACTCGTGACATATGTTCTGTCATCCTCTCGTGCAACTGCATTTCAAGGGTGGTGTTGATGTGAGGCTGGTTTACATGGGTACAGTTGGAGCTGAGTGTACGATAGCGAGAGCGAAAGCTGACGCAGTGAGTGGTGTTGTGATTTGATGATGTTGCTTGCTTGTGTCTGTTGTGATGAACTGATAAGAACCCCTTGCTTTTTTCCATTTCCAAATAAATAGACAAAGCATACACACGTGCATACACATGCGCGCACGCGCGCTGCACATGAGAACAGCCAACCCTCCTTGTTCACGAGAGCGATACGTTGGTGACTGTGTGTGTGTGTGTGTGTGTGTGTGTGTGTGTGTGTGTGTGTGTGTGTGTGTGTGTGTGTGTGTGTGTGTGTGTGTGCATGGATGGATTCATGGATGGTTTGCCGGCTGGCGTGTTTATTTACGGAGGACAATGAGAGTCATAAAAGGAATCTGTGATGATGAGACGTCAAATATGAACGAGTGTTTTGGTCTTGTGACAATGGTCTTTGACTGGCTGGCTGCTGAGTACCTCACTTTCTCGCCTACAAAACAAAACTCAAGGGTGAACAAAAAGTGGATCGACGAACGGTGTTGATGAAGTTCACAACAACATTAAACTACAGAACAACAAGCGCAACAAGCGCAACAAACGTTGTGTCTGCTAGCAGTTGCTGCGACATGTGCAGCAGAGGGTCTTGCTCTTTGGCCCCTTCAACTTTGGTCCGGTTATGTTTGGCTCCCCGTTCGCAAGTCTTTCCCCACTTCTTGCTGCTCGCTTGCTTGCCGCTCCGCGTTGTCACGTCCCTTATCCTGTGCTTTTGGCGGGAACAACGCCTGCGAGAGCTCAAACTCATCGCGATCGCGGCATTCCAACGTGTCCTGTTCATTGACCGATGGAAGCGGCAGTCCGTGCTGCTGCAGGATGCTCGCCATCTCCCGTGCATACCGCTGCATCGCACGCGTGCGCGTCTTCCACAGGTCGCGCTCAACACGCAGCGACTGCAGCGCTGCCTTAGCGTGGTTCACGTGCTGGCGCAGAAACACGTTGTCGCGCCGCATCTCCTGCATCTCCTGCGAGTCCTTTGCGTGTGCGCTCTGCATGGTGTCGTACTCCCGCTCGATGGCGCGCACGTCGCTCATGAACACGTCCATGCTGCGCACGCGGCTCATGATGGCGTCCACTCGCTCGTGCGCGTGTGTGCGCAGCTCTGTCTGCAGCCAGCGCAGCGTCTCTTCAAAGCCGTTGCACGAACGCACGCACTCCGACGCGCTCTCCAAGAGGGCAAGCCCGACGCGGTACAGCACCAGCTCCCCAAACACCAGCAGGTGGTCTGCGAGGGTTTCGTTTGCGCGCATGTGCGCGCGTGTGTGCGTGTACATGTGAGCGTGTGTGTTTTCATGTGCATGTGCATGAGTGTGTGCATGTGCATGAGATACCTGCAAATGAAAAGATATCAGAGACAGAGAATGAAGAGGAGAAAGGCGCTCGTAATTGTTCCACACGCAAGAATCCCAAACGTCCACAATGTCCACAATGTCCACAATGTCCACAACAACAACACCAACAACAACAACAACAACACCAACAACAGCAACACCAACAACAGCAACAACAACAACAACAACAACAACAACAACAACAACAACAACAACAACAACAACAACAACAACAACAACAACAACAACAACAACAACAACAACAACAACAACAGCAACAACAACAACAACAACAACAACAACAACAAAACAGACAACAACAACAAAAACACTGACCAAGCACGACTTCGGCGAATTCAGTGGTGAACTGCGTGTTGAAGAAGGTGAGGAACCACGGGGTTGCATAGAGGAAGGGCTCGACGGAGAACTGGTCAAGGTGGTGGAAGACGCCCGGCACGCGATCGTGCAGGAGTCGCGAGAAGCAGTACAACGAGCGCTGCAGTGCATACATGTCAGGCATGTAAAGGTTGCGAAGGCCAACGTCGTACAACAGCGACACAAATGCCGCAAAGGCGTCCTCCTCCGGCAACTAAATACGTACAAAGGCGTTCGTGCATGTTGGCGGTCAATGGTAATGATTTTCGCAGACTTGAGGTGAGGCAAACACAGATGCGTACCGCTGGAAGACACACACACACACACACACACACACACACACACACACACACACACACACACACACACACGCACACACACACACACACACACAAGCAATGAGCAAATACACGCACGCACGCACACACACACACAAGCAATGAGCAAATACACGCACGCACACACATACACACACACACACGCAGCCACGCAGGTACAAGAGTGCTGAGCACGATTATGCGCAGACAAGTGGTGTCAGGTACAGGGAGACGCACGTGGAGGAGAAGCAAGCCCTGAACAAAGGACATGCCCTGGCAGTAGCCAACGTCCTCGTCCAAGATGGAATACGCCTTCATGCAATTGCGCAGCGAGCGCTTGATGGCGGAAGTTTTACTGGCAAAGCGGGGATGCTCGGGAAACGTGCGGTCTATGGTTGTGGTGGTGGTTGTTGTTGTGATGATAGTGAGGAGAAGGTTACAAAATGAAGCAGCTGGACAGGAGACAAGCTTCAATGACGGCATGTGTTTTTATACACACACACCCTCTCACCAATATCGATTTGGATGGCGTGAATATAGATGCTTGGTTCCACCAACAGGTCCAAGTAGGAGTAGCGAACGCGCGCACACGCAGAGAGGCGCCGCTTTGCCGCCCACAACCACACGTGACCGCGCAGGCCAGAGGACACCCCGGCATCAAACGCAGTCGCAAGCTGCTGGTTGGCCCACGTCTCAGCCTCATCGAGTATGGGCGCTGGCGCCGACAACAACGCTTCCCACAGCTCCTCTGCAAGCGCGCGCTTCCTCTCCTGCTCTGCGCTCGCGTTGCGCATGGCCACCTCCGCGGCCTCCGCCTCCAGCTGCGCATTGAGAGAGCTCATGCGCACAAGCAACAGCTGCTGTTGCGCCGCCTTTCGCCACCGCTGCCGCACGAATTCAGAGCGCGTCATGTCGACAGTGGCAGAGGCGAGGCGACTGCGCCGCCCGCGGGCCCGGTGCCGCGTGGGTGTCACTTTGAGTGGAGTGGCGGTGGCGTGGGCACGGTGTCCACAGTGAGTACGTCGTGCGATCGTGCATGAGTGTGTAAACGTGTGTGTGTGCATGTGCATGTGCGTATGTGTGCGGGCAATTGGGTACACTGTTGTGTTGGAAGACGTTCAGGCACACAATAACAACATGCGGTGTCAGAGCACAGAGCACACCTGCAGCACAAGGGCGTCAGTCAGCAAGCAAAGAAGCGCTTCTCCCAACTCACCGAGATGTGGCCGCCGTGTCGACACTTTGTCGAAGATGTCGCGTTTCCACTCCGGATGGTCAGCGCCACCGCTCACATGTCCACCGCCGGCCGCTCCAGCTGTAGTCGACTGCTGCACACGAAGGCGCGAGGACCCGGGCCGCCGCGAAGGAAGCTGGGGAGGACGGGGCATGGCACGTGTGAGAGCGTGTGTGTGCGCGTGTGTGTGTGTGTGTGTACTTCAGAGATGGCGACTGGCTTTGAGCATCAACAACGAACCCGAGAGTGCATTTCATAGCTTCTGGACTGATGCAAGTAAATCCGACGCCAACGCACACACGCACGCACGCACGCACGCACGCACGCACGCACGCACGCACGCACACACACACACACACACACACACACACACACACACACACACACACACACACACACACACACACACCGGCTGCTTTGGCGCAGCTGCGAGGAGGGAATCGAGAGAGGCGGTGAGCGACCGCTTGAGGTTTGAGAATGACGCAGCACGGCCCGTGGAGTACTGCAGCGGAAGGGGAATAACAATTGGTGAGACATGGGGCGGCACATCAGGAAAATGTATCTCATGTTAAACAAGAGCAGAAACAGTGAAACAAACACGCTTGCACAAACACAGACAACACACACACACACACACACACACACACACAACACAGACAACACACACACACACACACACACACACACACACACACACACACACACACACACACACACACACACACACACACACACGAACACAAAACAAGGTGTCGTTCACACCTTGACCTCGAGGAATGCGTCGAGGAGGAGGGCAACGTGCGCCGCCTCGTCCATTCCAGGGCGCGTCAACTTCTTCACCAGCCGGTGCACCGTCTTCTGGTGCGCGGCGTCAAGCGTGTGCACGTGCTGCTCCAACACAACCCGCTTCTGCTGCAAATCAAGGCCTAAAAGTTGATGACATGACACGCATGTGTATATATGCGTGTGTGTGAATTGGCATAGCTGCGTGATGGGCGCCCAATATCGCTCCGCCAACGCAAGTGTCAACAATATCGCAGTCATACACACACACACACACACACACACACCCCCACCACCACACACACACACACACACACACACACACACACACACACACACACACACACACACACACACACACACACACACACACACACACACACACACACACACACACACACGCGCGCGCGCGCGCGCTGCCCCCCAACAACAGCAGCAGCAGTCGTTGCCGCCGCACCATCAAGTTCGTCGTGGATGAGCCAGCGCTCTGCGAACGATCTGAGCTGCGGATCGGACACGTGGCGCACGAGCATGTCCTGCAGCCGATGGGCGAGCGAGTGGGCCTTTGTTGTTGTTTAAGTTGTTGTTGTTTAAGTTGTTGTTTAAGTTGTTGTTGTTGTTTAAGTTGTTGTTGTTGTTTAAGTTGTTTAAGTTGTTGAAGTTGTTGTTGTTGTTGTTGTACAGGATGCCGGATGAGATGGGGGGGGGAGATAATTGTGGTGAGATGTGGAAAGCGTGGCTAAAACACTCCAAAAACAACAACAACAACTACTACTTAAACAACAACTTCAACAACAACACCACCAACAACAACAACAACAACACCACCACCAACAACAACAACAACTTAAACAACAACAACAACAACAACAACTTAAACAACAACAACAACAACAACTTAAACAACAACAACAACAACAACAACTTAAACAACAACAACAACAACAACACACACACATACATACACATACACAAACACCATACACCCTCGCCTCTTACCTTCGATTCGTCGTGCATGGTAAAGACGTGGGTGAACACGTGGCCAGCGGGATGGCGGCGTGAAATGCACACGTGCATACACGCGTTTTCGAGCGCAGGGCACGGCGGCGACACCTCCAGCGTGCATGCAAGCAACTGGTGCACGCGGATGGTGCAGATGGTGCGCCGGCTCTCCAGGTCCACCACCGAACAGCCACCGGCCATGTTCAGCTGTACGTCCACTCTGCGAATGGAGCGTGGTCGCACGCTGGCACCTGTCTGCAACCTCACCGCCTGGTGGTGCACGGCGTGCGTCTTTCCCGTTGCCGGGGCCGTCTCCACATATCCGCTGTAGAGCGCGGCAAAGTCGACCGTTCCTGCATGCTGCTCATCAGTGTCGTCGTCGACTGCACCTACACGCACATCGCCCGCCGTTGTTGCTGTGGTGGTGGCGGCAGCAGCTGGCGAGACGGTGATCTTGACGGTGGCGTGCGTCTCACTGGCAGCAACTTCCTCCACAGCACTAGCAGTGGTACTGGCATCAGCACTCGCTGTTCGGGATAAGGGCGACGATGTTGATGATGCCGTCGACAGGGACCGAAACACAGACACGGCGCTCGCCTCCTTGGACAACATTGTGCCCACACCATCGTCCACCGCAACTTCGCGTGTCTGCACATCACCTGCTATTGCGGTGTGCCCATTGGTTCTCAAGCCTCCTGCTTGCTGCCCCTGCTGCTGGGCGGCCACAAGGCTTTCCACCGCTTCAGCGCGCTGCAAAGCAGGTCGGGCATGCTTTGGCTTCGCCTGTCCGCCACGGAAGCGTGTCACCAGCACGGAGGGAGAGGAGGAGCACGGAGAGGAAGCGCTAGCGGGCGCATTATCGCTCGCACCACACAGTGGCGACACGCGCTGCTGTGCGGTTACTGATGTCGAAGTTGTTGTTGATAGGGTTGTTTGCATCACTGCACCCTCCAGCTGGGCCTGTCGTTGTTTATGCAGCACGTGCAATGGTACTTGTTGTTGTTGTTGTTGTTGTTGTTGTTGTTGCGGCAGGGGTGGGGGCTGGTGTAACGTGAGTGACCCAGCATGGTGCAGCCGCCCCTGCTGCTGGAGTGGGGTCGGCGAATGCGATGGCGACGAGGAAGAGGAGAGCGGAGACGTCGGTCGCACTTTGGATGCGCGCGTCGCTGTAGATGAGTTGAACAGCAGCTGCTGCGTCGCCTGCGTGTCATTCGTCGCCCCCTCCTGCTGCCTATGGTGCTGTTGCTGTCGTCGTTGCTGCTTGATGCGCCGCTGGCCAAGGTTGGACGCCACGCCAAACGCAGATGCAAGCGTCTCCATGCATTCTGCGGCCTGATCCGCGGAGGGCGCCTGGAACACCTCCGCCACCACATCCGCATGCCGCGTGCGCACCATGACGAAGCAGTCGTGCTGGCGGTTGCGGCTGCCGGCACTGAAGAACATGGCCTGCCGCTGCGCACACCCCCACAGGACGCGGCTGTGCTGCTTCGAGCTGTCGCCGGCTGCACCTTGCACATCACCAGCGGTGTCGATGCTGTGCCGATGGTGATGGCCATCTCCAGAGCCACAGGTAACGCCATCACCACGCGCACCCAGAAACGGCGTGTCACCGCCGCTGGTTGGCGTGGCCCGGCCACTGCGGCCGTGCACGACCGTGCCAACCGTTGGGTCGGGCTCGTATGCGGTGCACTCGATGGTGTCTGCAGCGACGGTGATGGTGGCTTCTGTTTGGGTGCGCTCTGCGGGGCGGGCAGCCAAGCAGAGGCGAATTGACTCGTTGACAAACGCCTCGCGATCTTCCTTTGGAACCGTTGGCGCGTGGTGCACGACGCTGTTGCTGCGGTGCACAAGAGGGCTGACCCTGCCGCCATCACTGCGCGTGCTCTGGGCTGACCCTGGGCGAGGACGTGGCTGGCTCGACTGCAGCAGGAGGTCGCTGTTGCTTCGCCCTCCTCCTTCTCCTCTGTCTCCCGCTGCTGCAGTGGCTGCTGTTGCTGTGGTGTTTGCGGCGAGATTCGAGGAGGTGGTCGGCGACTTGGCTTGGGCACCCGAGGGTGATCGAGGGTGGTCGCTGGACGAGCGTTGGAGCGGATGTCTGCTCGTCGTCAGCTTTGGCGGTGAGGATGCTGCTGACGGCGACTCGGGACGCCGGTGCTGCTTCTGCATTGCGGACATCTGCTGCTGCTGCTGTTGTTGGAGAAAGAGGTGTTCGTCTTCGGCGTGATTTGGCACGTGCTTTGGTGTGCGTGTGTTGGGCTGCAGAATTGTTCGGCCCCGGTACACTGCCGCAACAATGCATGATGGCAGCAGTGGGGGCTGGGAGCTGTTGGAGCGCCCACGCACGCCGTCCGTCTGTTTCTGCTGCTGTTGTTGTTGTTGTTGTTGTTGTTGTTGTTGTTGTTGTTGTTGTTGTTGTTGTTGTTGTTGTTGTTGTTGTTGTTGTTGTTGTTGTTGTTGTTGTTGTTGTTGTTGTTGTTGTTGTTGTTGTTGTTGTTGTTGTTGTTGTTGTTGTTGTTGTTGTGGCGATGTTTGGGGCGCCCGGCCATGTTGTGCGTTGTTGGCCGGTGGTGGTGGTGGTGGTGTTGTGCGGGTTGCGGTAAAGCTCTGTGATCTTCGCCTTTCCTGCTCGTGGAATCGCGTGAACATGGCGATGGGCGCATGCGCGTGTCTCTGCGTCTGTGCCTGAGTGGGAACTCTGCTTGGCGCTTGCCTTCACTTCTTCCCGTCCTCCATCCACCGACCCATCAAGACCCGCAAACAAACACGAGCACGAACACGAACACGAACGCGAACGCGAAAGCCGTGAGTGAGTGCTGTTGGTTTGTTGTTGTTGGTGGTTGGTTGATTGTCGTTGTGCGCAGGCAAACCAAACACCTCAAGTCGGGAAGAATTGCTGAATCTCCAGCAAAATTTCGTTGGTGCTGTTACGCGCTTGGCAATGGTCCTGTTTGTGTTCATTTCAGCGTGCTGGTGTTGTTGTAACAGCTCCATTGGGACAGCGGTCAGTGTGAGCGCATGTCAGTGTCGCATGTCATCGTGGTTCATTTACTGACATCTCGACAACTAATCCAGAGATCGCACATCCCTTGTTGCAGATTCCATCGGAACTCACATCAAGGAGACACGGACGCCTTCGCTCTCAAGAAGAAGATACAGACCATCTTCGCTTTGAAGCAAGCCAAGCAGATCGCGTTTCTTTCTTGCGCACCCCCTTTTATATTTTCATCTCTAGCTGATCTTCGCCTCGTTTCTGGCCGCGTTGACCCGTGTGTGTAACCGAGGACCATGCCATCAAAGAAGCAAAAGGCTGGCAAGTCCGGCAAGTCGAACAGCCCCGACGCTTCGCGTGATCGGAAGATGCGCCCCGCGGATGACATCATTAAGCGTATCACGTACGTTCATTTGCCTACTGCCTGCAGCACCGTGAGCGCTGTACACTCCACTTTGCATCACACACACACACACACACACACACACACACACACACACACACACACACACACACACACACACACACTCACTCGCTCACCCACTCACATGACTGGTTGATTGGGCGATCCGCTTGGTTGCAATTGGCTGTATTTTGGTGAACAACACCATAGGTGGGATAGCACGATTTCGTCTAGCCTTGTGATTGTTGGGTATGAAGATCGCTTTGTTGGCGTGAAGGAGCGAGCTTTTGATGAGTTCAACTGGGTGGACGACCTTGGTGCTCTTTCCCACAAGGCCGTGGCCATTCCAAGACACCGCATCGTCTACTTCAAGTACAGGTCAGTCATATGCTGCAGCTGTGTGTTTGTGCGCTGCGTGTTTGTGTGTTTGTGCGCTTGTGCGCTGCGTGTTTGCGCGTACACAAGGGCAGTGCAAGCTTGGTGCGTGCATGTTTAGAGATGGAAGACCATGCATTGGACGGCATGGTAACCATACACTCAACCATGTCACACACACACACACATGACGCACATTTTTTTTTTCTTCTTCCTCAGGGACACTATTATTTGGGACCGCCCAAACCGTGTGGATCGCGTGTTTGGAAGCGCTGGAACCGGCGTCAAGCTAGAGGAGGTTCGCACACACACACACACACACACACAGTGTCCGTCTGGCTGTCGTGTTTGTGGCTGGGGGTTTCCTGCGACGCATCCGCGCACACACTTTCGTTCGCACATGCGCACTGATCACCCACCTCTCTGGTTGATGTTGCACGGTAGACTGTGGCCAAGGCAGATGCCGAGCATCAGGCAAGGTTGCAGGAAATGATGGACAACAGCGATGATGATGATGGTGATGGTGATGACGATACCGGTGGTGCGACAAATGCCAATGCGCAACGCGACAACAATGACGACGACGATGACGACGACGACGATGATGGTGATGATGATGATGGTGATGATGATGGGCTGGCAAACGAGGTTGGTCGGCGCCTGCGCTTGCGTCGCGTGCGGGATGACTCGGATCGACCCAACTACTTTGTCAGTCTGCGTGTGGACCGCCCGTCTGTCGTGCAGCAGCTGAAGAGCTGGCAGGACGCCATTGTCAGCCGCATCCCCTGGCTCGCAGACCACCTCATCCCAAGCCAAGGTTGCCCGGAGATGGTGGTGCTGGTGCATGTGTGTATGTGTGTTTGTCTGTGTGTGTTTGTCTGTGTGCTTGTGTGTCTGTCTTTCTGTCTGTCTGTCTGCTTGTGTGTGTACATGTGTGCTTGTGAAATGACTTGGTTCCCTTTTTCACGCACTCACACCAACACCTGCTCCCCCCTCTCTCGCACGCGCTCGCCAGCGTTCCACATCACGCTCGTGACGCTGCGCTGTGCCACCTCCAGCGACATTGCAGCTGCAGCCCTCGCCCTCCGTTCCTTCAGGTGCGGTCATTGTGGTCGCTGGTCAAGCTGTTTCAGTGCGACGCATGCATAAAGCGTTGTGCACACGTAAACACGCATATGCAGGTGCACAAACGCACACCTGCACATGCACACACATGCGTGCACAAGCACATGCACACACATATTCATACACAAACACGTTTGCAGTGCCCCCTCCCCCATTCACCATATGACCACACACTATATCGCCACACCACCTCAGGTCCCGTGTGCATCGTGTCGTACCGCCATCGAACCGCTTTCTCGTGGAGGCGCCAGCCATGTTTGGGGACCGGCTCGTGTATGCGTCTGTCAACGAGCACAAGTGCAACATTCAGCGGCTTGTGACCGAGCTGTGTGCGCATCTCGAAGGCGCAGGCGTCGCCCTTGTTGGAAACCGCACCCCATTTGTGCCCCACATCTCCATTGTCAAACCATCCCGCGCAGCCCTCCAGAACGTACGTGTGAGAGTGAGAGTGAGAGTGTGTGTGTGTGTTCGTTTGTGTGCGTGTGTGTTCGTTTGTGTGCGTGTGTGTTCGTTTGTGTGCGCGTGCGTGAATGTGCGTGTGTGTGTATGTACGTGTGCGTGCGTGAGTGTATTTCCAGCTTTATGTATACACATGACACGGTATTATTGACTGTTGCCACATGTTCATCCATGCACCCGCCTTGACAGAACGGCCGCCTGCCGCTTGATCTATGCAACGGTCTGGAAGCACCGAAATCTCTTTGGCACAGAGTGGAGGCCCTACACCTCAACAGGTACACACACATGTCAGCACGGGTCTTGTGTCGTGTCCAGCGCTGCCTTGTCCTTCCCGTTTTCAGCTGTACCACCTGGTTGAAGTCCTCCTTTGCTTGCTGCCAACCGTGAGGTGCACTGTGATTGCATGCTCTCATCTTACCTATCGCCTGTCTTAACCGGTCACCTCCTCAAACGCCACACGCACCGATCACCAACCATCACCACCATCACCATCATTACCATGGTGACAGGATGTCTCCGGACAAGGCTGATGACGGCCACTACCAGCGCGTCGCCCACATCCCCAACGCCCGCGTGGGCGTGACTGCCGCTGCTGCTGTTGAACTCGTACAGCAGCGGCTGTACAACACTAGCACGGGCCTTGTTGTGATCATGAAGGGCCTGCCTGGCTCTGGCAAGAGCACCACCGTGCGCATGCTCAAGCAACTCGACCCCGTCGCTCGCAAAGCGGCAGCGTCGACCAGCGCCCCTCCTCAGGCTGCGAGTGGGGCTGGTACGGCACCACCACCACCAGCAGCAACAACAACAACAACATCAACCGCGCCACCAGCAGGCAGTGCCGGTGATGCCACCAAGCTGTCGACAACCACCACCACTAACACCTCCAAGAGCACCACTAGCACCACGACAGACAACGAGAGCAACACGAGGGGCTGCAGCGACAGCACCGCCGCCACCAACGGCGTTGTTGTGTGCAGCGCTGATCACGAGATTGAGCGGCATGCGCGCAAGACCAACACGACGTACAAGGAGGCGTGGAGCAAGCAGCTGACCAAGGCCGCCCACGAGAAGTGCAAAGAGCTGTTCAGGGAGAGCTTGGCAAGCGGTGTGCGGCTGGTGATTGTGGACAACACCAACATTACGCCATCGCGCTACGAGGCATATGTGGAGGGCGCCGTGGCTGCCGGTTACGACTGGTGTGTGGTGGAGCTGGGGTGCTTCTCGCGGGAGCAGGCGACTCGCTTCTTCCAGCGCAACACGCACCACCTCGAACCCGCCGTGTTCTTCCGCATGTACAACATGTGGGAGGAGAGCCCCGATGATGGGCACACCATCATGATCGACCAGTATGACCTCAGCGACGACAGCAACAATGGCAGCAACAGCGCCGCATCAACAGCAGCAGCAACCGCGCTGACGCCAGGCGCTGCCAGCACGACTGCAACCACGACCGCCACGTCAGCGAACGCATCGAAGAACGCTGGTGCTACCAATCCTGCCGATGCTGATGTCGAGGTGAAGCTGACACCGCGTGCAAGCGCCACTCCGGCAAGCATGACGCCACGCCCCCAGTGCGAGGTGGTGTATACGGGCCTGTTCCTCACGCAGGAGGCGCGTGCGCTGCTGCGTGAACGGCTGCCCAAGCGCCACACGACCGAGCACCTGGACCACGTCACCCTCGCCTACCGCCCGTCCACGGAGATGTGGCTCTCGCTGCCGTTTGGGGAGCGTGTGACCGTTCGCGTCGAAGCGGAAGTGTATGATGCGCGCGGGCAGGCCCTGGTCGTGTCCTGGCGTCGCACCCGTGATGGTGACGGTGACGGCGATGACGAAAGCGTGGATGCGCTGGCGAGTTTGAATGCCCATCCGCACATTACAGTGTCGACCGCAGGTGGCGTTGAGGCCGTGTACTCCAACACGCTCCTTGCAGCTGCAGCCGCCGCCCCTGAACTGGTGACAGCAACAGCAGATGCTGCCACCTCTAGTACAGGACGGGGACTTGTTGTCAACAGGCTTGATGGCGCCATTGAGGTGGAGGCGGTTGCTGGCGTGTGCTTCCGGGACGCGCATGGAATAACGCGCGTGTCGCACAACCGCAGCTCTGTCGTTGCGCCGATTGCGAAGAGCGCTGCCGTGCTGCCAGACATGACAGCGCCCGTTGCCAAGCCGCAGCTGTATGTGTTTGACTTTGACAACACCCTCATGCTCGTGCCAGGGAAGGAGGAAGGCTCGCGTTTCTACTGGCAGGTCAGTGACGCGTCTCTCTGCTTGCACGCGCGTGTGCAAGCACACGTGTTTTTTCGCAAGTGTCTGACCGCGCTTGCAGTGTGCGGTTGCCTCTCCCCCCCCCCCCAAATTCACCTTCAACTTCTCCCTCCTTTCGTTCGATCCTTGTTCTCATGACAAAACTTCCACTCACTCCAAATCCCACCCATACACTCTGCCTCTTCTGGTTCTTCTCCCTCCGCACAGCAACACGGCAAAGCGTGGCCCAAGGACAGCTGGGCGTCGCAGCCGGAGAGCCTGGCCCCATACATGCCCCTCTTCCCAGGCCCTGCCATGCAGATGTTTCGTCATATCTTGCATGCACGTGACAATGTCGAGGTGGTCGTGCTGACGGGGCGCCTGGCCCCCATGCGCGCGCATGTGCAGCGCGTGCTTGCAGCCTTTGGCCTGTGCCCATCCTCCTTCCGCCTCATCTGCCACCCTGGCGGCGGGCAGGACACGAGCGTGTTCAAGCGCGACACCGTGCGCGACATGTGGGAGACGGCCCGGTATTCGCGCATCACGTTCATCGACGACCTGGGCAAGACGCTGCAGGGCGTGGAGTCCCTGCGGTCCGAGTGCGGCGCGCGTGTGGATGTGGTGGACGCCAACACGCTCTGGTCTCTGGCAGTCCCCGCAGCCGCACCAGCGCTGGATGCCGCACGCGATCACAGCAGTCGTGACGGTGCTGCTAATGGCGGCGACGACGATGACGACAACGTTGACGGTTCAGACACGGAGGAGCACGAGCAGCAAGTGCAGCGCGCTGCTGTTGGTGGTGCTGTTGCTGCTGGTGGCGACAGCGGTGGTGGTGCTGTTGCTGCGCTGTGCGATGAGCTTGGGCTGCTGTCTCGCCCCAGCGGCTACGATGCTGCCGTCGCCGCTGGCATAGCGCTGGTGACCAGGTGCTGGGCACGCGTGCTGCGCGAGTGTGCCGACAGCGCAGATTACGCCGCCACCTTTGACGTTGATGCTGCGGCCGCGATTGTGTTTGGCTCGCACACCATCGGCTGCCTGTCGGACGTGGACGTGTGCCTTCTTGCTCCTCTCGTGCGCAGCACGTATGCGGTGCAGCCGGCGTTTCTCATCTCGCGCCTCTTTGCAGTCTTAGCGGAGGAAGGTGCTGCTGACGTTTATCTCGCAGACAAGGCCCGCTGCCCTCGCATCGTTGCCAGGATTGCCTGCACCAACGCAGCCACCGTCACCCTTGACCTGGTCGGTGTTTCGCGTTGTGACGATGAGGATGGGTGGTGATATGGTGGTGTTGTTGGTGTGCATTTCTGGTTGTGGTGTTCGTTGGCATGAATTTCGCTGGCCGTGCTTAGAAGTTGATCAAAAAACGCACGACGCACTCACACCCACACCTGTACACTGCCTCTCGCACACGCATACAATCACGCACACATACAATCACACACACGCACACAATCACGCACACATACAATCACACACACACGCATACAATCACGCACACATACAATCACGCATACAATCACACACACACACGCATTCACACACACAAACACACAATCACAGATTGCAGCAGTGGTGCACGCTGCACAAGTGGAGGAGATCACGTCCTGCGCCTCGTTCCTGCCGCCGCCGGCCGCTGCATGCGACGACGCGTCTGTAATTGCACTCGACGGCATCGCGGTCAACCGTGCACTGCACACCCTCCTCCGTGCCCGAGGCATTCCCATCCAAACAGCGGCGAGCGTGCTTGAGGTGGCGCGGCTGCTGCTGGAGTCGATTGGCGTCTACGGCACGGGCGTTGTCGGCCTGCGCCGCTTCCACCTCGTTGCCGCGTTCATGCAGGTTGCGCGGGAGCACCAGCCGGACCCGACGTCGGCACACGCCACGGGGGACGCGCTGCTGCTGTCGCTGCTGTCGTTCTTCGCAAACGGGAACGCGCAGGCCCTGCTCACATCGGGTGCGAGCGAAGGCGGCGTCAAGAAAGGAGGGACGGTCGCGGCGGCCACATGGGGAGAGGTCGCGAGGATGTGCAAGCGCTGGCTGCGCTTCCTGCGGAGCGATGGCGTGTCTACTTCGACGCTGTGCCAGCTGGTGCAGAGCCACGGGTGGAAGGAGATGAACGCGCACGATGCCGCAGTGGCCGCCACGCTGCTGCAGATTTCACGCGACCAGCACCAGGGCCCGGCAACCAACACGGGCGGTGCTGCTGATGATGATGATGGCGACGATGATGACGACGAACAGGGCACCCATGCCTCTCATCCCACCACCACCACCACCACCAGCAAGAGCAAGGGCAGCGCGTCGGCGTCATCCTCGAATGTTGCGGGCGGCGGGTCTGAGATTGTGATTGCATTTGCGGGCGACAACAGCCACGTGGCGTGGCAGGCGGATTTGTTCCTGCACGCTCGCCTGCCAACGTACATCACCCACCTTCAGCGTGCAGCAGCTGGTGACGGTCTTGTTCGCGTGTTCACGGGGCAGCGGCGTTTTGTGGATGCGTTTGAGCGGCCGGAATCGCTGCCAGCGAACAGCGTGGACACGCACGTGCGTGCTGTGCTGTGCCGCGCGATGACACGGGACGCGATGCTCAATGCTCTGCAGCCGCTCTGGCGCGAGCTCGAGCACTTCCGGGCGCAGGGCACGTGCATGGCCATCTCCCTTGGCGGCGAGGCCGTGTTCCGCGACACCACCACCGCGTCATCGTCGTGGACAGATGCACGCGTGAGCCAGGCCGTGCGAGAGTTTGTTGCGTCCACGGACAAGACGCGCGCCCTGCCCTGCCACATCACCGCGTACCAGCGCAAGCTCGTGCACAGCATTTGCGATAGCCTTGGCACCGTCAGCAGCCGCAGCGAAGGTGCCGGTGCCCTGCGCCACATTGTCCTCTCAAAGAAGGCGTGAGTGAGTGAGTGCTGTGTGGGCTGGGTGTGTGGTTGTGGTTGTGTGTGTGTGTGTGTGTGGTTGTGTGGTTGTGTGTGTGTGTGTGGTTGTGTGTGGTTGTGTGTGTATGTGTGTGTGTGTGGTTGTGGTTGTGTGTGTGTGTGTGTGTGTGTGTGTGTGTGTGTGTGTGTGTAGCTTGGTGGTAGTGTTCGCTGCCCATCCCTCGCTTCTCTCCACTCCTTTTGCTTCCATTTGCTGGTTGCACAGCGTCAGTTCACTGTTGAACGTGCACCAACAACGGTAACAACAACGACGACGACGACGAGAGTAAACCCACGCGCACGCACCAAACTGTCACGCTTCGTTGAGAACACCAGACACGGCGCGAGAGGGGAAGAGGGGTCGCAAACACACAAAAGTGGAAATCAATCCATCACCAAGCAAAGCAAGGGAGGTGGCAGGAAGCAGGGCTGCTTTGGGCGGGAAGGGTGGGTGGTTTGACCGTTCAATTGATTATGCCAAAAGCATACAACAAAACGCAATGTCAAGAAAGCAAAACAGGAAACGAAGAAACAGTGACCGGGCAGTTAGGAAGAAGTTGTGGTGGTGGTGGTGGCCGGGGTGACATGTTGTGCCGCGGTGTGGTTTGATGCACGCAGTCACTGAGAACAAGGCTCCATGGAAACGAGCGATTAACAATGAAAGGATGGAATGATGGAATGGCGACATGTTTGGGTGTGGGGGTTGAATCAACGAGCACACCACAGCAATGGCAGAAAACCAGCAGCACAAAAGAAGAGATGGGGAAGAGAAAGGGGAGGCGGCAGTTATAAACGATCCAAGAAACACGCACACACACACACACATGTGTGCGTGTGTGTGTCATGCCGCTGCTGGTGCTGCGTCGTGTGTGTAGGAAGAGAAGGGGCCAAGGGGAACATATGGGCTAACACAAAACCATGGCGAGCGAACGAGCGAGCGATAACAGTTGCTGGCGATTGCATCAGCGTCGCGGTCACATTGCTGCAAGTTCTTCTGTGAGGAAAGGGCACCATGGGGGATGTGGTGAGCTTTGGCGTCGGCGTGTGGGAGGCGGGAGGGAAGGAAGGGGAGAGTGTGTGTGTATTTGTGTGTCTGTATGGCTGTGTATGTATGTGTCGGGGTTTGTGTGTCTGTGCATGTATATGCGTTGTGTGGTGTGTATGGCGGTGTGCATATGTGCGTGTATGTGCGTTGTGTGTTGGGTGTTGAATGTTGTACACTGTGTACGTACGTGCTTCGCGGGCGCGAGATGCCTGCACCTCTTGAAAGATGAGCTCTGAAAACAAAGAACGAGTTTGAAGAACGACGGGGAAAGGAATGCGTGAGGTGAGCAACTAGGTGTACATTGAAATGACACGAAACCAGACGTCCGCACACACACACACACACACACACACACACACACACACACACACACACACACACACACACACACACACATCCTACCTTTGAGGGCCTCCTTGCCAATGTCGTCGACGTCACACTCGAATGTGAAGGGCTCCTCTGCCTCTGGCTCGTCGGAGGGGTCATAGTACTGCTCAAAGTACGGGTGGGACAGGGCCATCTCCACAGTGATGCGCTTGTCCGGGTTGAAGATGAGCATCTTCTCAAGCAGGTCCAGTGCTGGACGAGGGTTGGACGAGGATGGCGTGTTGATGAGAGCAGAAGGGGGGGGGGCGAGGGATGGTGATGTGTATTGGTGAGGTGAATGAATGGCGAAGAAAGGAAGGTTGGGGGGTTCATTGCGTGGTTAGACGTGTACAAGTAACAGCACACGGCTCGGTCGTGGTATTCAGGCACATGCATACATACACGCTCATGGGTCTCTCTCTCTCTC